GATTTGACAATAGCGGGCCCCGTTAAGGCCGCAGATAGTTTATATTTGAACGCGAATCGGCCATGAACCGTGGCCGAACATTCTGACTCCGCGGGCGTTGTGTCTCAACCACTTCAGCCTTGCCTTTCCCTTTGTCCTTGGGTAGGTACGCGTCGACCATATTTACTGTTGCCGTGGGGAACGGATCAGTATCAACACTCATCCTCTTCTCGGGGAACTTCAGTTTGCCATTTATCAATCCAGCTTTGGACGTTATCACGAAATACGACGCAATTGTTTGTCGTGTGTTTGCTCGAATTGTGGTATTTGCAATACACCTTTCCTTTAAGCTCCTCGGCCTTAGGAATGTTATGACCAGGCCGAAGCTTAATGATTCTTGCTGATAACAGTTGGTCAAAAATTGCGTCAGCCTTGGTAATATCAAAAGTATAAACCTTTGACGGTTTTCGATGTTCCTTCAGTGGCCGAGCGACTTTTGGCTTCTCTAGAATCAACCTGAGTTAATGCCTTGCAAATGTATGGTTTATCTATTACTATCTCAGCCGCATCCACACTAACACATTCATCCTCGGTTGATGCATAATTGACAGTAGGGTTCTTGTAAATCGTTCCCCGAGTTGGAGTCTTCGAAGTCTTTTTCCTCGCGGAGCAAATAATCGTACTGCTCGACATGCTGGGCCAATTCGTACATGTCCCGAAAATTTGCCCCCAAGAATTTCTTTTTGTATTCGACGTCAAGACCATTCAAAGCAAGTCTGACAAATTCGACTTCGGGTAAGGGCACTCGGCACCAATTCCTAGCCGATTTTAAACCTAGTAAGATAATCCATTGGTGACTCATCAGACGCTTGAGCCATCCGTGCCAATGAAGAAACTGACATCTCCATCCCCGGCCGATAAAATTGCTCGTGGAACTTCTCGACCAACTCCTCCCAGTTTTTGGACGGAATTAGGCGGGAGATTGATGTACCAGGCAAATGCCGAGCCGGTCAATGAAAAATTGAACAGCCGTAACTTGTGGAAATCACTATTCACATCTCCACATTGCGCGGTGAAACGAGCCACGTGCTCCAACGAAGACAGGGACGATTCACCAGCAAAAAGACTAAAATCTGGGATCTTGAAGCCCTTCGGGTATCCAAACGTCTCAACGTAAGCTGGGTATGGATGAATAAACTTGGGAAACTTCGGCCCTTTCTTCATAGCGGAGTCGATCATCCGCTGAACTTCGGTCATATCAACAGATGCTGCTTCGACCCTTTGGTCGGTCCCGTCTGACCTACTGTTCGACCCTCCTCCCTTCTCTAAGTTAATTGTTTTGAGCGGGGCAAGAATAGGCCCGGCCGGTACAATCGGTGCCGGATTGTTTTCTGGTAAGCAAGTTTGGCGAAGATCGAAAGGCCTGCTGCCACCAACTTGGCTAACCAGCATTTCGAGCAGTTTGGTTTGCCGATCATTGACACTGAGTATCGCGTCCTGCAGCTTGTCAATGCCTCGACTGAACGTCTGCTCGACTGACCGAGACTGCTCGTCCAGTCGCTTTCGGAGGAATGACCTCGTTGGTGGGTCTGTTCCTTCACCACCATCCTCATCACATTCCTCTATTATCCCTTCATTGAGAACGCATGTGTTTCTGTTTGGGATCTCTAAACCACGGAGTTGACCGCCGAGATTAAGTTCTCTCTCTCGGCGAGTCGCGCTCGTGGACTCAGGTGTCCCAACGCTAAGGGGATTCTGCGCCTGTGGCACACTCTGTCCTATGCTCTGACTCGGTAAATCGGCTGTCGACTTTCCCATAGCTGTTTTTTTTTTTACCGATCGTGTTTCAATTGGCATGAACTTCGTAGTTTAGCACTGGGTCCCACTGGGCGTGCCAAAATGTTGACCCTAGAAATTACAAAGCCTACGTGGCGCGCAGGCCGAATATATTCTAAGCTAACTACGTCCTTTGGTGATTGCGGGGCGTGCCAACTCGTCGGCCGAGGCTCGGCCGAGGAGTAAATTTGATGATGCTGCGTTGGGTCGCGCTACTGACTTCTGCGTCTTGCGATTGCGGCCGAGAAAGGAACGCGTCTCGGCCTCTTGGGTTCTCGAGCCTGAAGACAAGGCTGCTATTTCTTACAAAGTTCACGAACCGAATTCGGCTTACAATGTGCCGAATGTAATAACTGTAACACCTCACCTCGCCGAGAAGGCTAATGAGATGACCTCGACCAACAAGGATTCGAAAACCCTTCTCGACCGAGACTTGGATAGGCAGTCGACCGTTCTCGCCGCAGTGCTGTTGATGCCAACGGAAGATACTGCGAGACCGACCGACTCTACGGTGACAAGAGCTATCTATGCCGACTTAAGATATCACCGGTTGCTTCCACAGTGCTGTTGATGCCAACGGAAGATGTGTCAGCGAAAAAGGAAAAGAAAAAGATCTCAAGTTGTGAGAGTTTGCGCAGGGCAATTTTGTATTGATTTTTGTGGGGCCTTTTCCATTGCTGAATGTCTTGTATTTATAGAAGCAGAACACCGAGCCCGAGTTCTAATCCTATTCGAACTAGGATTCCTTCTCCGGATTAACGTTACCTCAATCAGTCCTACCTCTGCTAGGACTACGAATCTAGTCCTTAACTGAGCCGGATTCGCCTTCTAGTTTTACTGATCTCGTCGAGGGTCCCTATTGTATTAGGACTCGACTTGCACTCTGATTTAACCGATCTAGGCCTAGAAGCCCATGAGCTGAAGCCCCCATGACTTTCTCGCCGTAGTCTTCCCGGGCCGAAAGTGATACCTCCCTCGGCCCAAACTGCTATTTTGGGCCCAAACACTATGACACATCGAAAAAAAATTAAGTATAAAATAACTAAGAAGGTTTCCATTTCAAAATTTACGATGCACCAGAATTTTAAACAGTTAAATTATTTGGACTTTTCGAAAAAAATAAAACAGTGAAAAATCTTGGCCCTCTTTAACTTTTCTCCGAATAAAAGTACAACCTTCGCTCAATTTTTCTTTTCCGATTCTTTTGATAGTGCATGCCTTTATCTCGTCATCTCTTTATTTTGTTTTCACAAAATTAAAATTAAAAAGTAAAAATATTCTTACCGAAAGCGCGTGAGCCGTCCTTCAATTCAGTCCCGACGGAGTGCCAACCGCCCCCTATTGCCACGTGTAAACATCTTAGGCGGTAGCTCAACCGACCCTAAGCTCCTATATGGTTGATTGGTGCCACGTGGGATGTCTAGACTCTTCCACCGTGGACGAACTTCCTGAGCAAGTAATTGATGTTGGAGAAGCTACGTCGTTTTTGGAGAATCTGGAATTTCTGGAAGGACCACCGACAGTCTCCCAGGTAAATGGTCTGGTTTGGTAAACGCACTTTTGGAAATAATTATTCCATATTCCATTCCGTCTATTATCCAATAAGCAATAGTTACGTATAGCGTCTACTCCCATCTCTCATTGGAAGGTTAGAGAGAGTTATGGACTATTCTTATCCTTGCCATTAGTTTCGAGTCGAATTTTAACTTTCTTCGTGATATTATAACATATTGGTTAACATGTGAAGTTTAATAATCTTATGATACGCATGTCTACGTGTTTGGTTTGATTTTTTCCATGCGAAGAGGCATACGACAATACATAGTGTTTCATACATGAAAAAAGTTTAAAAATTAAGAATTGATAGAAATGGGGTGAAATGCAAAGTTCCTTGTAGATTAAGGAGATATAGGAAAATCAATAGATATTAACAATATTCTACAATTTTGCCATAATTCATTGCAAATTTCAAACTTTTGAACTTTTAAAGAAAATTTTCGCTAATTTCGATTAAATTTGAATGAGTTACTCATTGCAAATTTCCATAATTTCATTTGTAGACAACTAATATCAATATCGATTTATATATCGATATTCCCATCTAAATCGTTATTTTGAACACTGCATACAACTTACAAGATAAATACCTTCTTTTGGCTCTCAACACCTAACTTCTCCATATAAACAAGCTTAGGCTGGTTTGAATGTTTTTAAAATGACTGAAAATGGCTTATAGAGAAAATATTTTTGGGTTCTAAAAACACTTGGAAAGCTTTCGGCAAAAAGCATCAATTATATGCTTATTTCAGGAAACACTTTAGGATTTACTTGCCTGTATTACTAAAGTTGGTTTTAAAAACATCTTCAATAAAAGTGTTTTCCGCTATTTTAAAAGTACTTCCAAACAAATTTTATAATTAAACAATTTCATCTACTTTTTGCATAGGTGTCAGTCGTTACTAGTCGAAAATGGGGAAGCAAGGAGGCAGATTGTCTGCTCGCCTGTTTGGGTGTCATTTACATCCCCTCCTATTTTTTACGGTCACGGTTAAGCCACATCAACATTTTATATTAAATTTTTTATAGAGATAATAAGACAAAAAACAATAAGAATATAAAATATTGATGTGATTTAACCGTACCGCACAAATAAAAGGAAATAGGAAAGGCATCCAAACAGGAGGGCAGACAATCTGCCTCTGGGAAGCAATGCCCCAGCTTATCCGTTGTCATATATATATATATATATATATATATATATAAAGTAGTAATTAAGGTTTAATAAATTAAAGCAGTGGATTCTGAAGATTTGATATGAAATGAAGCGGTCAAAACTGATTAGTCGACACCGACCAGCTTCAACAAACTTATCTTTGCCGTCTCAGTCAAACCAATTATCTCTCTATCCATCTGCTGGTTTGGTTGGCAGACAACTAATTGACACGTATCCAATTAACGGAGGGCAGACGCAAAAGTTCGTGGCAATGGGGCAGGTAAACAGGATTAAGAATTATACAAATGAGACTTACCGGTGTCTCAAATCCATAGTCATCGTCATTTTAACTTTCTCACATCATGTTGTTTGCCGTTTGAATTATTAGTTTGAGACATCACCACTTTAAGCTGTCCCGGTCTCATGTACAACAGTACAAGTCATTCTCGGACAAAGGAAAACTAGTGAGGCATATCAAACACTTGCCCTTTCAATGAAAATAAAGTTATTTGGGTTAACCGAGTACAATGACTCCACGGTGGCTCCGCAACTGCAGGACTGCAAAGGCGGAACATCGTGGTGAATTGTATTGAAGAATATCCAAGGAAATTGAAACAAGGACTAAACCCTAAATATTAACCATTACATCTGAAATAGGGAGAGTTGTAGTTCCAACTTAACAAAAGAATGAACTGGTTTCTTTTTGTTGATTCTATTCAATGTGATTCTTATTTTCCTTTTTTATTGTGTACTATAGACGTTTTCCTAACCCTCGCAAAGCGGAGAGTCTTATAGGTACGGGGTCGTCCATTTTTTGTTCTAAAAAGAATACATACCACAGTAAACACCCCCACCCCCACAAAATTTACACCACCTCCTCCTTTTATTCCTCTCATTGCAAATCTAGTTAATATTCCTAGCATATCCACTACCCGGTTGAGCGGAAAATAAACTTAAGCACGGTTATACTTTAATCATTGCTCCGGTTAAGTTCCAGTGCAGTCTGTAAAATCGAAAACATAATCATGTTGATGAGGATGAGTATTGGCAAAGGTCGAAGAAAACCAACATGATCACTACGACTTAATTCTGAAACGTACCGTGTTAAGAAGCCTGAGAGCAGCAGGACGGGTAAATTTTCGAGCAAAAAGAAAGCACCGAGATGGTTTTCCCTTGCTGCTACACCATTCTCTCCGGTATTCAGTCTCGTAGTAGACATTATCTATCTCCTGAACATAAATCCGTCAAATCAGCTGCACAGCTACTATGAAATTCAAATGACAATCGGGAAAAATCTCTACGGATATCAAAGATGTGAATACATTTAGACCATTGCATGAGTTTAATGGTCCCAAAACTTGTGAAAGAACGAGAAACATTTGGATTCCGTTAGTCTCATATAATTTCTTGTGAAAAATTAGTGAATGCACAGGTTATAAACTTTGTCGGACAACCATGTCCTTTCCGTCAACTTGACTGTATTATTTTCCTGCCATTAAGCCAGTAGTAGAATAACTTTGTGCCTGATAGCTACCGCTAAACGTTTCTTAATGACTTGGGTGGTTTAACATAATGGTTAGGAATTAGATCCGTCATTGTATCGTTTATCCAACCTTTACTATGTAAATGCTAATGAACAAGAAAAACAGATATGTACCTTTATAGATTTAATAAGCATGGGAGTAGCATCTGAAAATTTGTAAGTCAAAGGGTGCCATCCACGGCGTTCACGGTTTCTAGAGGATGATAAATCCCATGACGTGTGTGTCAGCGATCTACGCGTGAGTTCTCCCTCAAGGCCTTGTTGCTGAAATTTAAAATATCGCTTTCTTAGAGAGCCAAACTATTATGCCGATGAAAGAGCTACCATCACCGCTTTTTTATCTCTCCAAAAGAAAGAGTGAGAAATTTATCTTACAGCCAGTAATGTCTGAACATAATGCTCGTCCGGGATACAATTGTGCTGCTTGGATGTATCAGCAGGCTGCATAATTGCATAAGTTATCAGAATACAAAATCAAACTTCATCTCTTGAAAGCAGTGTCTGCAAATTTACATTAGAATTTTTGGTATTTCAAGAAGTGAGTATTGATGCCGTACTGCTTTGACCAGGAAGCAGATGTGGTAGTTGAATTAAAAGTTTAATTGTTTGTTTCCAAGATGAATAAGAGTACTTACAATGGGACGATTCCGCCAAAACTCAGGTAGCGATTTTGTCTGCATGATTTCCACACATAGAACATGTCAAATACGAGAAGAAAAAAACAAACAAAAGCATCAATGTTTAAAAGGAACAACTTGATAAGATTACAAAGAAAAGAAAAATAGGGTAATGTGTCAATTGGTAACGCAGAAAGCCAACACGGAGTAAAGCTTTCGTGTCCATTAGGTGACTTTATTTGAAGTTCTTTTTAGAATGGAAAGTTTAACAATATATACCGACTTTTCTAGTTGATAAAAAGCAATCATCATTCTATGATATTTATATTCAATAATTGTATATGATATATCTAATATATGGATTATCTCACAATGATACCATGTTTACGGGAATAACCAAAAAAGCTGTGACTGTAAATGGTCATACAACAATTAAAAGACGAAGTACCTTGCAATGCAATTGAAACATAGGAAAGACTCTATCGTCTTTCACTACGACCTCTGCATGCTTCCTGGTCAAGACAACCCACTGCAGTGGGAAAAATAAAGCGACAAAAATAAGATGAACTGTAGGAAACTTGCATAGCAGAAATAAGCGCTTATTAGGTTTTCTATTTAGTGTTGCACTGAAATTCAAGAGGCAATTAATCCATCATACGATCTGTACCTGTGATCCTTTTCTCCAGTTATGAACAGGAATAACAGGATGCATTTTTGGATTGTAGCGGCCCTCTTTCGTATCAGCAAAGCTGCTCCCAAAAGTTAAAAATTAAATACGCTTTCAAAACTTTCCGTCATAAGTAAGATACAAACATACAGAAGCGTACAAATCTTTAGGTGATAACCAAAAATGATTCATTACAAAATAGATTCACATTGAGATGCAGCTCACTTATAATATGTATACACTCTGAAGATGAACCCAAGTTATATAGAATGCAGATACAGACTGAGAACCACAGACCACAGAAAAGCGATTCTTTCAAACATACATAATACATATTTGACTTGGTTTATTCACCTGTCTACAAAACTGGTTCTCGTCGACATGATGTAGTCATATATGTAGCTGAAATTGTAAAGGGGAATGCAGCTGAAAAGATATCATGTAACTGAAATATTGTTAGGCGATAAAAAATCACAATATTTATGAAAAGAAACCAGCAGACCAAATTTTATGTAACCGCAACCTAGGGGGAAAAAACGTCAAGACAATCTTCACCTATCGGAAACAAAGGCAAAGCGTTGATTAAGAGGATCCTCGAGTGCATGTCTTAGTAATATGCGCTCTGCCTCAATCATGCTTGCTTCTCCCCAATCTACCTGGTATGGAATGAAATAAATATAACAATCGCAATAAGAGTCACGAAAAAAGAAATCACCTTAATTCACATTGCTCATAAACTCATACCTATCTAATCTCAATCCCTGCAATTTATCAGTTATTTGATAAGAAGCCAAGAAACAAATTTAAATGTTTCCGGCATACAACAAGCATGGTTAGGACTGTGCTTCTAGAAGAACTCAAGACACTATAAGCGCTTTTGGGTCACAGAAGCACTTCCAGCCTTCCAGGAGAGGTGCTTCTACTGAGGCACTTCCAAGTGCTTTTTCAAGAAGCACATCCACTTGGAGGTTCAATTAAAATTTCAAGCGTTTCTAATAAAAGTGCTTTTAGAAAAGCAATTATGATACACAGGACATTGTATCTAACAAAAGTGCTTCTAGAAAAAGTGCTTATGACACATATGACATTGCATTTCCAAATTAAGAATTCAAGTTAGGAAATAGAATAGTAACTCCCACCTGTATACTATCATTGACTTGACGATCCAAGAAAAAAACCGACCTTGTGGTGGCCTTGTTGAACAGAAACCCCGGCCTTGAGTGAACATAAATCGAAAACCTACTCTCCCCTCCCTGCAACCAAAAACAAAAACAACAAAAGCTCCATCTTTAATACAAAATGCCAAACTAATTACACTCCTAATCACGCAATTAGATTCAAAAAACAAGTAGTTAATAAATTAAGTACCTGAAAGAAAACATCCCAAAGAATGTCCAACGGAATGCGATTGCGAGCGATGAACAAGAAGGCGATCTTGGGCCGTTGATTTTGCTGAGAATTTCGCAACGAAGCGAGCGTCATAATCCGACTGTACTGAGTGTGCATCAGCAGCACCAACGTCCCGAAGCAGATCCCCACCAAAATCAAAGTGAACAGCTTCCTCTTCCATTTGTGCTGAGCTTTCTGCGGACCCGCCTTCCGCTTCATTACTCACTTAACTAATAAGCTGCTTTTGCATCAAGCACCTTCTCAGCTCCCAAAAAAGCTTCAGAAGTAGCTCAAGCTCTCATCTTTCGTTCTTCCACGTGAAACCCAGAATCCAGATCCGCTTCCTTCAAGCTCTGGATTCTGGGATTTCGTAGCGGTGGAGGACTATCAACTTGATTGAGCTAAATTAAGCTGCTTAATGCTTAAAGCTCGTAGCTTTGGAGAGAATTCTAGAGACCCAGAAGACGTAGAAGTAGAGATTAAGCTGAATTAAGAGAGTGAACGGGATTTCAGCGTTCGCAAGTGGAAGGTGGGACTTCCATTTTTGTGATATTCTTTCTTGGTACGAAGGTCGTTGTCGAAAAGTTGGGACGTGTTAATGTTAGTTGACAGAGTTGCGTGTGATGTGGGGATAGAAGAGCAACCCTTTATTGTGCCTTTTTCTTTTGTTTGATTTGCCAAAGATTGTGTTTTCTCCTTTTCTCTTTGCCTCAATTGTGGATTACTAGTTGGTTTAGCAATATCTCGTCTTTACTTTATTAGTTACATGTGCGAGAACTATTTCATTGAAAATTATGTCTGAGTTCATGTGTGATTAGTCGATTCGGTGAAATTCTGGTCCTCACTTGGTTGCATGTGTGAGAAATCTTGTTGTTTGCCAAAAATAAAAACGCTTTTTAGTCAAAATGGTCGAGATTGTCATAACTTCTCTTTGAGATTTAAAATCGATAGAAGTGGTTATTCAGATTGTTTACCGTCAATCAGTTCGGTCATTCTGTGTAAAATTTACGTTAAATTGAAGAAATAATCAGTTCAAGTTAAGGAGTTGATTTTGACAAAATAAAAACTGTATCTGAATTCAGATACTACTTCACCAAACCATTAAGTTAATACGATATAAGCATTATAATAAGCAACAAATTATTGAACCAAAATAATTATAGTACAAGTTAAAACATGAGTCAAATATGAATATGCTGCAAGCGATAGCAAGGCAACGGTTGCGAGTCGGTGACAACGATTTTTAAACCCCTTTTAGGCTCCACTTTACAAAAAAAAGTCATACTTTCTTGTACCGACGTTAAATTACGTAGTGGGGCAGCCAATTGGTATCAAATTTATTATGAAATTCGAACTTAAAACTTCTTACTTTTAAGCGAAAATAAATATCAGCAGATCGTAATATTGAATGGCTAATTACGTAGTGAAGATTTGAACTTAATATTTCTTTCGTATTATTATTTTTTTCTAACAACATCAAAAGATGATACAAATTAAGTGTCGTTTTCGATTAGGAAATGAGATTACTTTTGTTTACATTATCCATGAAAATATACAAAAAATAAAATAAAATAATTTAAGGTGAGGGGAAATGCAATTATATTATTAGGGTCTGTGTTAAAGAAATATTGACTAGTGAGACTCTGAAAGAAACATAACACTACCAACCAAAAGTTGTTAGTTTCAATAATGATTTATATGGTGAGACTTCATCATATGCACTGGTAATGGAAGAATATTTTTGCCATCATTCTTAAGTAATGGTGATGTTTATCGTCTTATTTATTATCGTTTGATAATGTAAATTTCAAGATCCATGTAATAGGTAGGTACAAATCTCAAAATTTAAACTTATCTAACGATAATAAATATCGTGCATTTTTGCTCACCACCCTATTTATCATCGTTAAATAAGTTTAAATTTTGAAAATTATGTTCATCTACTATACGGATCTCGAAATTTAAAGTCATCAAACGATGATAAATAGGGTGGTAAACAAATATGGATCCATAAATTTTCTCTTACTAATATTACGCACATATTGCTTTTTTTTTTTAGTATATCGATATTTTTACACTAAGGGGAGGGGGAGTTCGACTAAACCACACAATGGGCAGCCTAATTTGGTATCGAATTCGTCATCCACGAGATTCGAACCTAAGATCTCTCATTTCTAAGCGACGAGGAATACCATCAGATTGTAGTGCTGAGTGTCAAAAAATGCATTTTGTAAATGTAAGCAACTAACCTGCTAAATAATAGTTTCTTCTTTTTATTGATAAGATAATAAAATAAAGGTATATTTGTCGATTTGCTCCCTAAACTTATATAAAACTGTTAATTTACCCCCCCTGAATCCTTAATAGCACACTGTTAGCAGAAGCCAATGTCTCGAGGTCCCCGGGACTCATTCTGACTGAAACAAGGGGTGGGTCTTTTACCAACTTAAAATAGCTTATTACCCTTTTTACTTTTTATAAATAACCCATTTTCCTCCTAACGCTAGATTTTAAAATTTTCATTATTTTTTATCCATTTTGATCCGAGGACAACACATGACAACTGAATGTGAGCAAAAAGAATGAAAAATTGGATGGATGAAAATTTTAAAATCTTAACGCTAGGGGCAGCGAATTGGCTATTTATAAAATTTTAGACGGATAATCGGCTAAAGTTAAAGTTTAGGAGGAAAATTGGCTAATTATAAAAGTTAAGAGGTAATCTGCTAAAATTAAAGTTCATAGAGAAATTGGCACCTATATACAAATTCAGGGAAAAAACCGACAAATACCTCTAAAATAAAAAATAAAAAATAAAACCATTCAAATTACAGATTACGTGGGCCTTTTTGTTTCGACACTTACTTCCATGAGCCCAATAATAATCGGGCTTGGGATTTATGGGCTGAGACAAGTCTCCAGGTCCAGGAATGTTCTTCTCAGTTACGAATTTAAAACGACGCCGTCCCGGTTACTGGCAAACCATGTCTACTTCCACTGGACCGTTGAAGTTCTCGGCTCTTCGCCCCCAAAACATGTCGGTTAGGTCGTTATCCATCCGCCCCCAATTTACCGCCAAAAGGTACAAATCTCAAATCCCTCCGTTCTTTTCTTCCAATCCGCATCGCATTTTGTGTTTTTTACATGTCGTTTTGCAGTCGAAGCTCGCCGGCGAGCGAAATCGGAGCAAGCCCTGGCTGCGCAGTTCTCAACTTCTCAAATTTGCAGAGAGGCCCCTCAAGAAGTAGAAATTTGAGCTTGAGGTTGTGTATGGGTAGCGGCAATGGAGGATTTGGACAGAACCCTCATGGGGTCGGCGACAAAGATGGTGTCATCATCGTCGACCACGGTTCGCGCCGCAAGGAATCAAATCTCATGTTAAGTAAGCTAATAAAAAATTAAGTTTATGGGTTGTTAATGTTTAATTATAAATTTTTTTATGATTAATGTAGAAAGTTTGGATTTTTAAGCTTGTTAATTGGAATTTGAACTGTATGAACTTTTTCAGATGAGTTCGTGAGCATGTTTAGAGAGAGAACTGGGTACCTAATTGTGGAGCCTGCTCATATGGTACAATAAGTAATTAATTTTTATTGATTGATTTTCATGGACATGAAATGAGTGATTCTTTAGGGGAGTTGAGTAACTCAGAAGAGTGTAGAAACTACTCTTTTTATCGTCGAATCCGGAAGGAAGAAGTGGTTGTAGCTTTGAAGAAGATGAAGCATAAAAAAGCAATAGGCCCAGACAATATACCAATCGAAGTGTGGAAACTTTTGGGAGAGACAGGTATAACATGGCTCACTGACCTTTTCAATAGGATTTTGAAAACGAAGAAGATGCCAAATGAGTGGCGAACGAGCACTTTGGTGCCTATCTACAAGAACAAGGGCGACGTACAAAATTGCATGAACTATAGGGGTATTAAGCTAATGAGTCATACAATGAAGCTCTGGGAGAGAGTCATTGAGCATAGATTGAGGCAAGAGACACGGGTTTCGGACAACCAATTCGGGTTCATGCCAGGGCGCTCAACCATGGAGGCAATCTATCTCTTACGAAGATTGATGGAAAGATATAGAGATGGGAAAAAGGATTTACACATGGTCTTTATAGATTTGGAAAAAGCGTATGATAGGGTCCCAAGAGACATTCTTTGGAGGATTTTAGAGAAGAAAGGAGTACGAGTAGCATATATCCAAGCTATAAAGGATATGTATGAAGGAGCAAAGACTGCCGTAAGAACTCATGAAGGACAAACCGAAAGCTTTCCCATAACTGTAGGATTACATCAAGGCTCATCCTTAAGTCCTTACCTTTTTGCATTGGTAATGGATGAGTTAACATGACATATTCAAGATGATATTCCTTGGTGTATGCTTTTCGCAGACGATATAGTGTTGATAGATGAAACTCAGGAAGGGGTAAATGCAAAGCTTAACCTTTGGAGAGAAGTGTTGGAATCTAAAGGTCTTCGCCTAAGCCGATCAAAGACAGAATATATGGAGTGCAAGTTCAGTGCAAATGGAGGCCAAAACGAGTTAGGGGTGAGGATCGGAGATCAAGAAATACCAAAAAGCGACCGTTTTCGTTACCTAGGATCTATCTTGCAAAAGAACGGAGAATTAGATGGAGATCTCAACCATAGAATACAAGCTGGATGGATGAAGTGGAAGAGTGCATCCGGCGTGTTGTGTGACCGCCGTATGCCATTGAAGCTCAAGGGAAAATTTTATAGGACGGCAATAAGGCCGGCGATGCTGTATGGCACAGAATGTTGGGCGGTGAAACATCAACACGTACACAAAATGGGTGTAGCGGAGATGAGGATGCTTCGTTGGATGTGTGGGCACACGAGAAAGGATAAGATTAGGAATGAGGATATCCGGGGTAAAGTAGGAGTAGCCGAAATTGAAGGAAAGATGAGAGAAAATCGGTTACGGTGGTTTGGACATGTGCAAAGAAGGCCTACTGACGCTCCGATTAGAAGATGCGACTATGGGACAGAGGTTCAGGGCCGAAGGGGTAGAGGAAGACCTAGGAAAACTTTGGAAGAGACTCTAAGAAAAGACTTAGAGTACTTGGATCTAACGAAGGACATGACACAGGATCGAGCACAATGGCGTTCTAAGATTCATATAGCCGATCCCACTCAGTGACTTGGATTTTCCAAGTCTCCAACCGAGAAGTTTTCCTCACTCGGGAAATTAAGGGAACACTACCCCAACCTACATGCTCCACTCAGAAAGCTTCAACATACAAGCTTCAACAAAAGAAAATTCAAAGAACTTAGCGAAGAAGGCTTTGGTGTATTTAACACAATACGTTGAAATGAAGGAAAGCTTATTTATTGATATCCCCGATCAGCTACAAATATGTACATATACATGAGTCAAAATAAACAACACAAGAGGGAGCCTTCACAAAGGTTGCTTAGGAGAAGTCTCAGCAGTCGGTAGAGCCCCAGAAAGAGAAGGCACCGGAGGGGGATCATTTGGAGCCTCAGTACTGGACAAAACCCTAGAAGGAGGAGGCATCAGAGGTTGATCATTTGGAGCTTCATTACGCGGTACAGCCCCAGAAGACGAAGGCAATAAATGCCTTTGGA